CAAGTGAGGACCAAATACTGATCAACCTGCCGGTGAGTTCCAATGACCCACTTTCGAACTCCCTTGCTGGGGGACAAGCGCCCGGCAGGGCTTCTTGCCTCATCTGGTGTTTTTTGTTGAGGGCACCCGCTTGAAAAGGGAAACCATCAGGACACATAAGCTTATCCGGGCCTCTAAAGAAAATCCATCCACAAACCTTTTCGGGGAAAAAACAAAAACATGATGGGTTTCCCCGTAGAACCAACCAAGCAGCTTCTTTCACCCCTGAAAAGAAAAAATACGAAGAAAAGAAACCTGATCTCTGTCTTTGTCTCTTTGTTTTTAAAGGAAGAACACACGATGGGTTTCCCCGTAGAACCAACCAAGCAGCTTCTTTCACCCCTGAAAAGAAAATAACGAAGAAAGGAACCGTGATCTCTCTCTCTCTCTCTTTTTCTCTTTGTTTTTAAAAGAAGAACACACGATGGGTTTCCCCGTAGAACCAACCAAGCAGCTTCGTTCCCCCCTGAAAAGAAAATAACGAAGAAAAGAAACCTGATCTCTGTCTTTTTCCCTTTGTTTTTAAAGGAAGAACACACGATGGGTTTCCCCGTAGAACCAACCAAGCAGCTTCTTTCACCCCTGAAAAGAAAATAACGAAGAAAAGAAACCTGATCTCTGTTTTTTTTCTCTTTGTTTTTAAAGGAAGAACACACGATGGGCTTCCCCGTAGAACCAACCAAGCAGCTTCTTTCACCCCTGAAAAGAAAATAACGAAGAAAAGAAACCTGATCTCTGTTTTTTTCTCTTTGTTTTTAAAGGAAGAACACACGATGGGCTTCCCCGTAGAACCAACCAAGCAGCTTCTTTCACCCCTGAAAAGAAAAACAACTCAACAACACCAAAAACACAAAACACAACAAACAAACACCAACAAGAAACACCAACAAAACCAAGCACCGACAAACACAAACATCAACACCAACAAACAAACACCAACCAAAAAGGCCGCGAGGAACCCTCCGCTCAAAGCTCAGCTCTCCGCGCCTGGGGAAGGCGGCCAGCTCCGTGCCCATGGCCTCAAAGCGGAGCGGAGCGGAGCGCGAGGCCCGGACTCCGGGGGTCGATGCTGATAGGATGGGTCCGAGCGCATTTCTCTGCACCCAACATGGTTTGTGTTTTTTGTGTTAATGTTTCTTGTTGATTTTTGCTTTTTTTGTTTAATCGTGTCTTGGTTGTTGTTCTTTTGTTTCTCCGGGGGAAAGAGACTGGAAGCTGGTTTGTTGGTTGTTTCCGCCGGTGAATACCAACAATGGTTTCAACCATGGTTTCAAAAGTGGTGCAGGAGTTCGTCCATCCACAGCGTGCTGTTTTTCCTTGCTTTTTTCAGGGGCCAGTTCTCCCTAGATTCTTTGGGAGGCAAGTAAAGATGCACATCTCACGTGCCCAAAGGACCTCTGGGACCTCGACTAAAAATGAACCAAGAAGGGGGAAACCAACAAGGTCAAAGGGCGGTTTGGAGGAAGACGCTCGCAAAGCACGTCACCCTGATCGCTGAAGGCAGGGCCGCACAGAACAGCGTCTCCTCGCTTTGGTCTGGGCCTCAGCCCACTGACAGCAATGCACTAAGTCCCATGAGGATTAGGAATTCAAGCCCTACGTCTTGGACACTGCTCTATGAATACAAATGTCAACTTTTGCATGTATCTATGTATATTTATATATGTATACACATTATTTATGGCATCCTCGCGGACCAATTATTGTGTGTGTGTGTTTTAGCTGTGTGTGTTTCCAGTGTTTAGTGCTATGTTCGGCAGTATCGATTTTGTGGTAGGTGTTGTTGCTTGGGGGGGGGTGCATATACATATGTATATAATATACACACGCGTAATGTAAACAATGATGCCTGGAAATCGATCAGATGGAGCCCCGAACACTTGGCGCAAGGTGCGCCAAGACACAAAAAGGACTCTGGTCACTGGTCCATATGCATAGCCTGCCCTACACTATAAAACGAGTTTGCACTTCTGGAGGAATTGTCTCTTGGAGCCTTTTGGGTGATCCTGTAAGACGACTCAGCCCTTCGCCGAAGCCCTTCGCAGAAGTTTTGTGAGCAGTGAAGGAAACTGATGCCCTAAATGTTAGTAAAAGCGCTCCAGATTCATCTGCAATCTATGCAAAGGACCTGATCACATCTTCAGAGATTTGGCAACTAAGCCCTATTTCCCAATGTATGTTGGGTTCCCGTGCCCCGTGTCATCCCCTTGATCAGACTTAGGACTGACCTGCTCTTTGCCCAGCATAGGTCCTATTGGGCCTTCTAGATCGAGACAATCCTGTGGTTTATTCCAGCATTCATCGGCTTTCATCCCTCCAACCGGAGCAGGATGCTGTCCTTCCAGATTTTCATCCCTTGTGGGGTTGGGACCCTCCCTACACGCCAGCCACAGTCTTTTCGACACTCAGACGGTCGACGCATTGGCTGAAACAGCAGAGCCTCTCGCAGAAGACGTGCCATGGGCGCGTGGATTTTGGTGGAGGGCATCCTGCAGTTTTGGGAGCAACACAATCCTCAGTAATCTGCAATGTTTATTAACCCGTCGACATTCAGCAAATTCAAGGATTCACTGAAACTCCTGGGAGGGATGTCGCTCCAAACTGGTCAGTCTGGTGTGCAACAAAGGCTCTGATCATTGCCGCTAGGCCTGGTTGGCCTGTGCTCCCCGGACGGGATCGATCGGCGGTGGCGTCAAGCAGTCTGGCAGTTCAGGCGCAGAGTCCCATGCTGAGCTTAGGCAGAAACTGCTGGATCTGTGTGGTGCAAACAAAAACCCCCTCGCAATCATAGCATCCACCCCCGCCCCAACCCCCCCCCGCCCCCAGCTCCCCTTGTTTCCCCGAAATGAGGGAGGGGGGCAGGGATCCTATGATTTTCAGAAACCCTAGCGGGGGGTTTCCCGTGACTAAGTGACAAGGCAAACCTCCACCCCGCACAAGACCCCCCACCAAGGCAAGGGACTATTAAGTTACACAATTAACAAACAAGGCCAAACAAGACTGGGTGGGTGGGTGGTAGGGTCCTCATGCAACACACTGTGGCGATTGCGTTAGCACGTTGAGTTGCCCGTCGCTGAGACAAACGAATGATGGGATCTGCCTTCTGCCACCCTTGAGGATGTTTACTTCCTCTGGAGGCACGATGGATCGAGCTCAAGCCCGACGGAACATCGCACTCGTTACGAGGCTTCAAAGGCAATCGAGTACGACAGCATGACCATCCGCCAAGCAATATGGTTGACCTGGACCGTCCTTTTCTTACATTTTGTTGGGGGAACAAATTTGCATACCTCCAACTTAAATGTTTAACCGGCTGGGTACATGACAAAGATTGTCAGCCATCTTCTATGGGGCAGGGGGCCACGCAAGTTTCCAAAAAGGTAGTCTTAGAACTGAAGGGAATGCCAGCGACCAGGTGCTGAAAAGCAACAGCAGAATGGGCAAACACAAATTGGCTGCTGGAAATTTGGCCCCCGCACCACCCATCAAATTCAGCCGTTGTCTCGGGATCCCAATTATTTCAGTGAGTGCCGTTTCCTGGTCACAAGGCCATGCTTCAATCATGCTTTCCCTTATTTCCATTCGGCAGCGGGCATCTAAACTCGGTTGCTTTCTGCTCCCCTGCTTAAAGTTTAACTTTTTGCGGTTTAATGGAAAACCCATTAGTTTTTCAACAACTTAAAGTCCTAACATCCAAGCAAAATGCGCCAAAGTAAAGTAAAGGGCATCCTCGTCTCACCCAGCGATTGATGCTTGCCTAACGTTAGGGCCATGCCTGTGCGCTGGCCACAGGGCTTCGAGCGTATCCGAAGCCTTTCTCGCGGAGCTGTCGCACCAGCTGCTCACAAGTCGTCCAAGCGACCAACTCCAAATTTCCGAAACGTCACTTCGAATAGACTTCCACTTGCCGCAAAGCAAAGCTATTTCCAAAGGACCCGAAAAAAACATAAAATATCTCAACGTTGGCTGTGACTCACCAACTCATCTGGAAAACAAAACCTGATTTGTACAAATGAATACGTTTTTGCGGGGCCGCTGCGTTTGCTGTATCTGCACATCCTATAGTTCACAAACCTCAAATCAGTGATCCCCACGGAAGGAAGAAACACATCCATGATGGGCGAGCTGCCTGTACCCCGAGTCCTTGATCTGCTTCTGTTTTGTAGCCACCAAACAAAACTGAACGGTACCAGAGCCGTGCAACGCTGAAACACATGCCAGGAAGAACCAAATTACAATTTGCCCCAAACCAATTTACACATGCAGAGATTGGCGAGAGCTCCGCAGGTCCGATCGCCTTGTGCTCCCGGCCAGCTTTGGCATTCCTCCGCGACAGAACAGCGACACGTCAGACACGACCTGCAAGGGATATCCGGACTTCTAGGTCCTCCAGTAGAGAGGCTAGAATAAGAGTACCAACTTTTTTCTGTAGTCTATCTTAGTAGTGGAACCCTCCCCAAGAAAGGGTACAAGGGCACTGGGGGACCTAGACTTGGATCTTGACCGAAGCTCGTTTTGCAGTCAGAATGCCCTTCCCTTGGCCTTAAAAGCAGGGGCTTTCGGCCTATGCGCAGACTCAAACCGGAACCCCTTTCGGCGCCGGTGGATGGGGTGTACTTCCGGGCGCCAGGATTAATCCATGCGAAGCCCAACACAAGTGCTGCCATCAACACTACCATGGCGGCAACCACCAACCAACAAAGGCACACACACACACAACAAGCAGGGCAAAACACAAAGACACAATCAACAACAGGCGGCCACCAATAGGCAACAATCAGGCTGGGCCAACAACATCATCGACATTGACATGAACAACATTATATTGACAGCACCATCAACAATATCAACCCCAACTGCAAGGGACATATCCCTCCTATGGCTCCCCCTACAATCCACAACACCTCAAAACATCTGTGGAAGAACACGACGAATGTCAGGGTTCCTTTCCTGGCCTAGTTCCTTCTTCGCGACGCATGTCAAATGTCCGGCCGGCGCCCGGTGCTACTCTTCCCTCCGCATCTCGATGCGGAGAGAAGCGAGCGATCTCAGCGGTACATGGGGGGCCGGCGCTGCATGATCTCCCAGAAGTGGTTCACTGGGTCCTTCGCCGGAGCTTTCTTGGCCGGCGGAGAAACCGCCGGCGCCGGTGCAATCTCAACCTTCGGCAGAGGACAGGGGACGTCCATAACTTGCACTTCCCCCGCGCGGCCGATGACGTCACAAATGAGATAGAGCTCCCCATCAGTAGGCACCTCCAAAGACAAGTGCAGTGGATTGTGGGGCAGGCAGTGGGAACGGGAACTGATGCAAAAGATGTGGACAAGGAATAGATAACCCCAAAAAACAGGTTGGATCCTTTTGGTTTCCGCATTAAACCGCCAAAAGGGGTTGCTTCCAACAAGGACGCACCGGTGATTCCGGATTCATCCCATGCTGTCAGAGCTGGTCTCAAGATCTTAGGGTAGACAGTAGGTTGGACCCAATACCAATCTTGGCCACGTCTCGGGTATCAACCTACTGAAACATTCTTGGTACAGACTTTCTGGCTCTTTTCTGTTTAGCCTACCACCCCTCGCCATCCGTTTAAGGACTGTACAGGGTGGCTCCCATGGAAACCTACAGGTAAAATGGCATAACCAAGGGCAAAACACAAATTCCTTTGCAGTATATACCCCCAGCAACAAATATACACATATGGCCATATGGGTCAAAATCCAAATCGTACCCCCAGTGAACATCCCAATCCCCACAAAAATCGGTTCTAAAATGGGTGGTGAATTCACCGAAACCCCCCCAACATAGGATCCCAAAACGGTTTTGACCACCACAGCCTACACTTGTGGCTTGCTTCTGAGCTTCGGAGCCCTTCCTGACGCTGAAACCAGAATGGGTAACCCCACGCTGAGAAAAAAATGCTTCACGGCTCTCGAAAGGGCCACATCTCACCCGGCTACGCTGAAAAAGGCTCAAACACCTAACTCACCTGGCAATAAGAGGCTAACCTGCTGGGATCTCGAGGACAAATGGATGGGAAATGCAGGTCAGATTATTTGTCAATGGTGGTTTTGGTTGCAAGCTAGCTGAAGGTCGAACCAAAAAGCAGCTGAACTCATGTTCATCCCGGAAACAAACAATCAACTTCCCAAAATTATTCGGATCTCCAACAAATTAGCACACAACCCCATGAATCAACTAATATTGGATCCGCTTCAATAATAGTGAGGTCCGCTATGCATACAGTAGTTTCCACTCAAACGGAATGTGCAACTGTTGAGGGGTCCGGAATAGGAAGTTGTTTGCCGCGGAGCAAACATGGGTTTATCAATCTGGGCCATTCACTGATTCTCCAGAGATCAAGCGCTCATGGTCCCTCTGCCAGCCTTTGTCGCAAAGCCGGGGGGCAAGGCGAAAAGGAGAGAAAGGCTCTGATTCATCTCGCTGGTGCTCAGGAGGGAATGAGCCCTATAAACCATCCCTTGTGGTTTCCCTCAAGGGACCCCTGGGTTCATTCCCACATTCCCTGCTAAGCGCCAGCAAGTTATCTACCTCAGCTTTTAGCCCACCCAACACATGTTTGATGCTGCTCCACGTTTAGCGAACCTTGATATGCTCTCATTTTAGAAGAGATTCCAGCTATGTTTCAACCATGCTGTCATAGGGCATGCATGGTACAACTTCTTTTTGCTCATGGAACAGAACTTGGTGACATCCTGATGGTTCACCAATGCCCGGGAGTCTGCTGTTTTGAGGGTGTCTGTTGTGGGGGTCGTTTTTAACGGAAACCAATGAAAAACAAATCATTTAGGCAAATGTGTCCCATTTAGAGACAACTCACATTGCTCAACACTTCTTTGCTCTTGCGTGTGCGGTTTGTGTTGGGGGAGTGAAACCAATCAAAGGGGAAATTCCTGGGGTCTTACACACCAGATTCAGCCAATGTTCCAGGAATTTGGCCAAACACCGTAGCAAATACCCAGGTCTTTGGCCTGTTTGGCCAACTTCCTGAATTTCCTGGAGGTTCCAGCCTCCTTCCGGTTTAGGTGAATGTGGAAGTCAGATCCCGGTTCCCGCTCTTGATCTTTGGGCGGCTTTTGTGTGACCCTGGTGGGTTTTCCGCGTTGGCTTCCCTTTGAAAAACCGCGAAAAAGGGTGCCCTCAAAACAGAGAGACCCCACATGAAATCCGAGTCAACCGGAACACCCCGCTCGGGGAGCGCCCGAACTCTTAGCTGCCGATCCGACAAGCACCGAAGGCGCCTTGACAATGTCATCGAGCACCAAGCGCCCGACTACTTCGCCGTTCCTGGCGGAAACCTCCGTGTCCACCGCACACCAAGAACAAGGAAACCAAAGAAAACCAGAGGAAACCAAAGAAACCGATGGGAGGAAACCAAAGGAAACCAACTAAGCATTTGGTCATCTCAGGTTGAGAATGCGGCCATGAAGAGTCAAAGGGTACTTTAGAACGGGATCTGAGAAAAAGCTTGGTGCCCTTTGAGTTGAGCACCCTTCTTGTAAAACGCCCAAGCTGAAGCAGTCGTTGACAGTGGATGGTTCCCGCAGGCCATTTTGCGATGTTCTTCTGGGCCGTCACCAATCCATGGCCCGCATCTGCAGTCGACCCTCAAAAAATAGTTCGAGTTACCTCCAGAAGCGCCCAGGGGCCCGCCCTTGGATGGCTCGAAAAGAGCACCTGGAAACCTGGAAGGGTCGTTGGCGTGTTCTATTCAAATGAAAATGGTGCTTTGCAAATGGGCTCAGTATGATAAGCGCGGAGTACAGCCTTTTCCGTTGCCAAGGGTTGCAGGTCAGGTCCGGTTTGGCTTGTCCACGGGAACACCATCCAAGACAGACCCGTTTGAACTCGTGATCTCAACCAACTATGTGTTGTGGCCCTACCTTGTTTTGAGGGTGTTCCTAAATTACGTTGCACCTCATTTAGCATGCTATCTAATCAATGCGGCCGGGCATAGTAGACGTCTGCAAATTAACTCAGTCGCTCATATGCTGCTGTATGCAAGTTGGCAGAAACGAGACACATAGAATATGAGAGCCACGGCGGATCGAACGTTTGGTGTTGGACAAGTGAATGAGCCACCCATCTATGCCTAGTCCTCTGGCAAAATGGCGCCACGCATGCCTAGAGGACTTCTGAACTAACTGCGGGCGGCCCTCTCAGGCCGGGGTTCCAAGTGTCAATCCTCGAAAAACGGATCCTGACCTCGAGCAGCCTAAAGGCGGTAGCCAAGACGACAAGACGAGCTCCCGGCAGGCCAGCCAAACAGGTAGATGCCATCATCATCATCATCATCATCATCATCATCATCATCATCATCATCATCATCATCATCATCATCATACCTAGGGCCTGTCCTTTTTTTTTTTCAAGGGCATCCCCTTTTGGTGGCTCTAAAACCAAGCTGAGGAAAACCACCATGGGGGCCCCCGAAAAAGACACACCCCATATGTTGGAAGGAAGCGCTGCATGAGATTCCCAGTCAGTGCCAGTCCTCGCATTTCAAGTATAGCTTTAGGCAAGACAAATATATACATATATGAGGAAAAAGGGAGGGGCGGGGGGTGGAACCCCATGAAAACTAGGTCCTTGGCATCCAGGCGCTCCACCCCTTCCCCTTGGGCGGGCTCTTCCTGATACCCAGAACGCCGATTTTTTTTCCGGCGCGCCTCAGACCGACAAGCTCCTTGCCGTCCTTGGTGATGTGCAGGCCACACGTGTCCCCCAGCTCCTAGGAGAAGGAGGGTGGCATTGCTGGATCGGTAGCCAGCAGAAGTTCTGGTAGTAGACTAGTCCATGCCTTAAGGGACCTTCATCACACCGGCGGCCCACGAGTCGAGTCTCGAGGGGCCGCAACCACGAAGTTGTCAGGGCTCTGGGCTACAACAACCTCTTCTTTGCGTCATGGGTGACGTCGCATCGCTTTGTCGTTTGCCCAGAATGGTCTACCCCGAAACATGTCAACAATTTGAACGGCGGCCGCACCTCTTTGGCCCCACTGCCCCGGTTTTCGATTGCGGCATGTCGCCGACCGATGTTTTTAACTTCCACCCTCCCTCCCCCCCTTCACATGGACCCGCATGTTAAGATCGATAAATATACCACAAACAAGCCGCGGCCAACTAAAGGAAGCCAGGGAAGTTCATCATACCATCTGGAGATAAAACCAGACCTGGCTACCGATATAGTTATAGCGGCTTACAGGACGTAGAAGTCACAGGATCTCAACCCGCCCTCTCCCTCCCAAAAAAACACACACACACACACACACACACACACACACACACAAAAACAAAAACAAACATAACAACAACGGCATGACTTTATGCCATACATTTGTCGAAGTTGAAAAAAGCCGCCCTGGTCCACTCAAGTACCTGGGGGCTTAAAGGGACCCCCCAAAACAAGAAGAAGCAAAAACTAATGTTAGACCTCGCAAAGGGCTGCCAACAAACATGTCCCTTTAAAGAGGACCCTGTGCAGGTTCCATGCTTGTTTTTAGCTGGGTCCCTAGGTTCAACAATGGTCCCTCCAAGGAACCGCAGCCACGGCTACCGGACACAAAAAACGCCCCGCAAACCTGAACACTGGTCGCCCAGTGGAAAAACAACCAGACAGCTACAAGGTTTTAAAGGTCAATGCAAACAGCAAACAAAAACAACAAGTGGAAAGGGCATCTGACAAGGGCTTCTCTAAGCAGGAAGACTCCGATGAGTCGGAATACCCCAAGGGATCCCATAAAGAACGAACTTTGAATAGGCTCGCTGAGTGGTAGGCAATGGGCAGTCTTCGGCTCGATAATTGCGTAGAACAACTAGATCATGTCGAGTTGTTGGCAAACACGTTGATTCAAACCATGGAGTCCCAACGGGCACATGGATTCACTGGAAGTAGTGAATCTCTGTGTCGTGGCAATTAGTAGATTCACAACTCATGGCTTCCTAGCTGCTTCCTGCCATGACGAATCTACTCGAATCGGAACATACGTTTAGAATCTATCTTCAGAGGGCCAACAAGAGTAGAATGGTGTCAAGGATTTAGGGTTTAGGGTTTAGGGTTTAGGGTTTAGGGTACTTTGAAATACATCCGAGTGATCATACGACAGTGGGTGCAAGCACGGAAGGATCCTTTGGCTTCTTCAGGGTGTCCTTACGGCGCACCACGAGGTCTATTATCATTCGTAAGACCAACTGTCGATCGTTTTTTGTTTTTTCCCCCCGAGGATGTCACCATGGGGCGGCCCTTTTTGCCTGAGCGCCAATTGGCACAAGAGATTCCGAATGCCACGTCTGCTTCTCCCCGTTTCTTGGTGAGCCCTTGGACATTGAAACGTGATATATATATATATATATGCACATACAGCACATACATGTATAATGTGTATATATATATATTATTATTATTATTATTATTATTATTATTATTATTATTATTATTATTATTATTATTATTATTATTATTATTATTATTATTATTATTATTATTATTATTATTATTATTATTATTATTATTATTATTATTATAGTGTGTTGGGGCACACGGTTCACATTTGGCAATGCTGTACAGTCCCGAGGTGCTTGGGGTTTGCACTATGCCCAACAATGCACTGGAGTGCCCAAAGTCCGGAATAACAAGGTTCCTCGAAACAGGGGTATTAATTTTAATTAGGCACGCTATCATTCAGGGAATCTATGTTCCCAAAAAAGATTGATTCCCATAGACCAAAACTTGTGAAGCTGTTCTCTGAGTGTAGTCGTAGGGTGCAGAACCCAGACAACCAATGGAGGTTCCAGTTGGGACTGGGGCCCCAATCGACCCATCTAACCGACAAAAACTCTAACCGCTTGGTGTCCCCCCTTTTCTTTGGCCCAGCCCAGATCGAAGGGAACCAACTGTTTCGGGTTGAACAGCCACGTCTGGCGTTTTCAGCCGGGATCGGAGGGATCGGTGCCGTTCGCTCTGCTCGCAGTGGGGCCCGGGGTCCGGGCCAGCATCGCAGTGTCCCAGCCGCGCATCCAAGCAGCTTGGTTCGACATGGCACCTCCAAATTGGAAAAAACAATCAGGCTGCGGGCTTCTGGGGATGGTCAGGTACCACTAACATCTAAACCACCAGACCGAACCGCACATTGAGGGTAAGGTGCATCACCTCATCCCCAGGTGGTTTGGAGTGGTTAGGAGGTGTTCCGAGGGCTTCCTATTTCCCCAAACCAGTCCAAAGGGCGGAGGTTTCCCGTGCCAAGCCTTTCACCGTCCCAAGACGCGGGCCTCATGTGTCCTGTCGTTCATGGAAAGATGACCCTATGATTCATATGATCGTATTTCTGCAGTTTTGCTTGCTGATTCCTGGTAATTTACAAGGATTTTGCATCTTCGAGCTTCGTGCATGCAACATCTTTCCCGCTAGGCCCTTCATGGACATGCTTTACATAGTCTTGTTCACGCACTTTAGAATGGCTCCTATGCAAAATAGCAACCAATCATGTCTCAGCGAGTGATGCTCAAGGAATACTCCACCCAACTGTCAACTGTTGGTCAGAAAAGAGCATCCCGGGAAAGCAACAAACATAGCCCTCTGCTTTGTGAACAGTGTTTTGTGTGCTGTCCTTCTGAAATGAACCGGGCCCCCGCTGAAACAGAGGAAACACAGTGCAAAGGGAAGTCCCGCCGATAGAAATCGATCCTTTCCAGCGGCTTTTCATGCCCTTGATGTTTGAAAGAGCTAAGACAAAGGATGTGTTACCTGTAGAACCCCCGTTCAGTGGCCTATGTCTGAGTTTGAAGGGGATGTACCAACCAGGGAAATTAAGCACTTTATAGGGATGGTCATCCAAGTGTTACAATGCAAAGTGGGGGGGGAGGGTGCATTGTTTGCTGTTACAATTGTTTGCAGCGCGTGCCTTTAGCATTTCGGTTTTAAACCACTTGCCAGTTCCGTGAAGGTATAACAGTTTTACCCGAGTTGGGCTTTGGCCCGGACACGGGGCTCCAAAGGCCTCCCATGAAATTGCACAGGCGTCCGGAAGCCTGGCTTCCTCTTGGAAAGGGGGCACGGCATCTTCCGTCTTGGGAGGCTACACAGCCGTCTCTCTCTTTGAGGGTATCCCTTGCGCTAAATGGAGATCTTTCGGGGTCCATTTTTAGACACATCCCTCCTATGGATGGCAAAATTCTGCACCACCTCATAAACCTTGAAATGATGATGGTTGGCATGGTTCCTTAGGTGCTGCGAAATGGTTTTCGTCCATCCATGGGGCCCGCCCCCCCCCGATTCACCTGCAGACAACCGAGCGGACTCGCCGCTTCGCCTGGCGGATAGGCGCGGCCGTTGATGCGGAGCATGCCGTCGCCCCGGAGGACCCAGGTGTCCGGGAAGTCTGCCCAGCAGAGGCCTCGCGGCGAAAAATCAGAACACGAGAGGTCCGGGTTGGGGGCTGATGTGGTGCAAAAGAAGCAAATACCTCGCGGATATATATATATATATATATATTATACATATGTCTATATATATATACATATGTATATATCATTAATGTATGTATTCAATATCGGGATAAAATAATTCTTGCCCCAGGGCCTACCTGTCAAATTACTAGTGATGCACCCGGTGCTCGGCATTCACATATGTGCGCAGTGTGCATGGATGTTGAGCTTTTTGCTAACACGACTCCGCTGAACATTATTTTTGACTTGGGCTACGCGCGCACACAATAAAACCAAAATAGTGTCCTGTGTTGCTTTTAAGTCGGTGCGAAAAAGCAAGGCCCTGCCGGCGTGGCTTCATTTTGTAAACCACAATTGTATGGTCTCAACAAACTCCCAAACACATGCAAAGAATCCAGGGATAATAAATCCCTGGTTGATTGATAGGGGGTGTCCCCGATCCTAGTGGGGATTCAGACCACTGGCAGGAACGACCCCATTCTTCGGACGGATTCTTCCGGGGAGTACCACTTGAGGCCGGGGGAGGGAACCGAAGCGTCAAGCGCAGCTTCGGGGGACTTTGAGGGGTTGACAGGGGAGGAACCCAACGTGGTTGAAATGGAATCCAGGAATCTGTGATACAGCAAGGAGTTTCCCAAACCCCCTACAAAAGGGGAGATTCCGACTTGTATCGCAGAAGTGATCCCACAACCCTGCAACGGCACAGCCAAGATCTCCGGAAACCCGAAAACCGACCCGACACACACACACACACCTCGATGTGCAGACTGTAGACTTATGATTATACACACACACATGCGCGCTATAATGTGTGTGTGTGTGTGTGGGCGTGTTCAGTCACACTATCAAAACAAGGATGCAACGCCAAACTGTTTCGGCACCAGTTTAGACATCAACCCTCCATTGGTCCATGATCCTGGAACAAAGCTGCCATGATGCCCCCCTTGCTTTCACTGGTTTCCTTCAAGTAAGGCCTTACTTAAGCAGCAGCCCTCCAATCAAAAACCACCACGGCCCGCTCTGGCCTACGCCTTTTTTCTAGGCATAGGGGAAAGGCTGACCGCCGGCTTTTTCGGTGGCGCCTTGTTCATTGGCAAGTCCCACCACATCCGGCGTCAAGGCGGTGATCCCCATATCAAAGCCCGAAGCCCAGGCATCGCTGTCATTCCTGGCTCGCGACGAAAGCGGCCAATGCGACTGGCACAAAAAAGTTGCTGGTCGAACCAAACCGAGAATGCGAAGCCAAGAGTTTTCGTGTTCCATGGCCTGGAGTATAGCTGATGGGTTAAAAACCGTTGTCACAAGGTTTTGCAAGGGGGTAGTGGGACGACCCCAGGCTGGTTACCAACTCCACTTGACGATGCTTCCCAAATCATTTCAGTGTTTGGGCTTGAATTCACCGTTCACAACTGGTCCCAAATCACCCATTGTCCATCAATGTCTTTCTGCAGAAAAGGGTTGCACCATTAATGCGGTGTACATGTTGAACCCTTGAAGCTAGAGAATCCTATCCCAACGACTCACTTGTTGAGTGGATGAACAAACTTTCTATTTATCACTAAAGCCCAAGCACAAATCCCCCCCCACAAAAACAATCATCCGACACGGCGGCATGAAGTTCGCCCCCCCCCCCCCCCCGGGGGGTCTGCGAGGTTTTCTGGTTCTAATGTCCTGTTTGCATGCAAACGGACACACCCCACCCCATGTTTTGAGATGAAATAGCAAGGAGTTGTGAGGCTAGCCAGGACACACACACACACACACACACACACACACCTGCACGCCCGCCCGCCCGCCCGCCCGCCCGCCCGCCCGCCCGCCCGCCCGCGCGCACGCACGCAACACACATTCTTTCTGGGCCAAGCTTAGAGTCGGTGCAAGTTCACTTAAAAGGGCCAAAAAAGCCAAATGTAAAAACTGGTTATTCTAAGTCGATTAGATAAGCATTTTTATAGCTGGCTCGTAGGTTCATGTCGTGAACTTTCATTTGTAACTCCTGTCAAGGCTGGCTAAAATAAAGAGTTCCAGGACCAGCCCATGTTGTTTCAGCATATTTGTGCATCAAGATATGGGTGTGCTGGTTTTCCTTCTGGTCTCCAAAAGAAACGCACACACACACCTAGTTGGACCTTCGACCTGCTTTCGACCCGCAAATCAAGTCGAGGCGCTCGATCTTGATCTCCGCATAGAAGTCCGCTCCTTTTGGGCCCGCAGCGGAGGCAATCGGGGTCTCGGACACCACGATGCAATGGCCCTCTGGTCGGCTGTAGTGGTCCTGTCGAGGAACTGGGGTACTCCCTCCGCCCGAATGAGCGAGCAAAAGGTCGGCATCAACCTCAAAGCCTCTGGTAGTGCTTAAAAGGGAACAACATATTTCCAAGGGCAAAGTACACACCAAAGACCAGCCATGAAAACAAAACCAAGGAGTTAATCAGGGAAATTCCCCTAACAAGACATTTCAGGTTTCTTCTGAACCCCTTAGTCAGGTGAATCAACCAGTCAACATTATCCCCAACAACATGCTATCCAATGATTATCTCCCAAGTAGTGAATTGTTGCATGCAGGTGGTACTCTAAACCCCGGATCTGGGCAGAGACCCCCCAAGCTTTCAGTGGACGGGCCAAGTATAAACTTGTTTGCCAACTGGCAACCAAATCCACAACCATCGACACCAGAGATAACACATAAGCTCGGGATATGAAAAAAAGAGGCTACACCAGCCCCTCGGCCCTCGTCGCCCTCGTCGCCCTCGTCGCCCTCGTCGCCTTTCGCTCGGCTCGGCGCGACTCGGCGGATGGCTCGGTCCCGGCGCTTGGCAATGGTCTCGTCGTCGTTGAGCTCCACGCCGTGCCCCGAGTTCCAGGAGCTCCACCTCCGAAACCCGGCCCGTCGAAACCCGGAGTTGGTTTTGGCCCCAAGAACGAGCTGAACGCAAATCCAAGGCTCACATACCAAACCCAAAAGGACAAAAGCACTGCAGGCTTCGACCGTGAGTAAGTGTCTACGCTCGTTGGTAAACTCAAGATCCAAATCAGAAAGCAATCGAATTACACATCGGTAAAGAGCTAGCAATTGCTGGTTGAAGGAATGACACAGAAAACCAACAAGCCCAAAAGCAAACAGGTTGGTTAAAATCTGGCAATGACAACCCGACCAACTCGACCTTCCAAAGAGCCCCCGACCGTTTGGCCTTATCAGGCCGTTTTTGGCCTAATTTGGCCTTGGTTGGCCTTGTTGGGCCATCGACCAATCAACTCTCAGCCTTCACACCAGCGGCTCCTTTGGGACCCCTTCTAGATGGTCGGTGGACAAACATTTTCGTGCAGATGATGTCCATCAAGCGGTCGAGAATAGAAACGCGATATCCACACACATCTGTGCTAACTACTATCATTCAGAAACCTGAATCCATGCATACCTTCTATGAACCCCTCCAAAACCCATCCACAAGGGGTACAAAGGGACCCTCTGCGCTGGGCTCATAAATTGCTGGAGCCTGACACTGCCATTTGCACATTTGGTTCCCACAGCATCATCTGATTGTCAAACAGGCGCTGTGAACTGCAACACAACCACCCTGTCCCATCCGTTCTGGCTTCCTTTTCACCAATTTGAAGACTCTGGTCAATTTCTGTTGCTCAAAGCCGCGCTAAACCCCCCTTAGAAAAAGGACGATCACCTCCTGTGGAAAAGCCATCTGTTTCCTCAAGGTCTCAGAGGCAGAAGCTCTGGAGTGGCCAAAACGAGTCTGAACACTTTGTTTAAACCCAAAGACCGAGACTTTTGCTTCCCACTAAACTGGTCCAAACCCACCAAGTGAATAAAGTCCAGGAACTCCGGAGGTGAGACACCAAAGATCAGCCAGCGGAATCAGGAGACCTTTTGGGGCCGAACCCTCGAGACCCAGCGAGCAGTCGTTTCCACCAAGCAGACCTCCCGGACCCTCGGTGGCCATGGGAAAAAAGGCGCGGGCTTTGCTAGGGAGCCCCTCCCCCAAAAAAACAAGAACAAAAAGCGGAGGCAACCCGCTGGGCGTCTGGGCTTATTTTTGGTTTTGGAATGATTCAGCATTTGCCAGGACTTTTTGTCTGGCACGGGAGGCTAAATGGGGGCAATCCTTCGAAGGGCTGGGATTTGGCAGATCATTTCCTCCAAGAACTCTTCACTGGGCTGCCCTCAGATCCCCACGCTCAAAGTTTAACTTTGAGTGGGTTAAATACGGAAACTACCACTAAACACTAAAACGCGAAAAAGCTAAGGAACTGGATGGCTGGGAACCACAAAGATCTCAGGTCTCTCCGCTCGGCTCCCTGGCTTGGCTTTGCGTGTGCTCTTGGCTGCCGTCGCCGTGGCCACGGCTGCAGCCACAGCCACCGGGATGTTACTGGCGGGGCCTTGCCTTGCACGGGAAGTCGGGAAAGGAAGAAAGGAAGCCTACCATGTAAAAGGCACCCTATATGGCACTGTAATTCAGGACAACTTTGGGGCACCTCTTGTTTCAACAGCAACACCTCTGTTGCAACAGCCTTTGGGCTTCCCTTCGGGGACTGGTTTCGACAGGGGTGGTCGGGGAAAAACAATCTGGCCCAACCCTGGGGCATCTGATATGTTAGTGAACATTACCAGCGCCCGTTTCACCCATCGACTTTCGGTTCTACTATTTTACTACGTTGCCGCAGTCCTTGTTGAACCAAACAGTCGAACCAGCGGAAGGGGGGGGGGGGTTGGGGGTTCGGCGCTTCTCATTCAAGACTAGCCTTTCCAACAAGTGATATGTACACCAGAACAAAAGGGGAATCATGCATACCAACAGAAGATCCACAGGAAAGAATTTCCCGGCTCCCAGGGTCCTTGTAGTGGGTGGGCAACTCCCGCTTGCAAATCTAGGAGAAATCCCCTTTGCAGTTTTGCCCACTGAAATCGCCATGAATGAGGCAGTTTAGTCCACCTTGTCTGCGATTCAGACTACTGGCAATCGGAAAAGCATCCCAGGACAGCCACCAAGACATGATGTATTTGGGGCGCTGGTTCCTTTGGTGGTTTCCCATTGAGCCGTGCGTGGTGTCGCCAATTCCCTGGATCCATGTTCTGTCGCCATTTGACAAGGATGCGCATCCTTTGCACCGAGAGGCATGGGCGACCTTCACTACCAGTTCTCAACATCACCTCGCCCAAATGAATTTTGCTGAGCAGTGGCTCAAAAGCTGATGACTTGTTGCTGAACCTATTGGATCCCCTCCCCAAGAAACAATGGAGCCGCCAAAGGCCAGAGACATGGTGGGGTTTCTCATTCATGACATTCATGGCGAAAGCTTGTGGTTGAAATTGTTCTAAGGGAAACGCACCGTTTGCCATTTGTCGGGGTTCGCTATGTAAACAATCCATTAATGCTGTCCAGGGGAACCCTTCGTGCGAATCCTGGTAACAACCCCTGGCAACCCTTGCTGTGCTTTTTACACCCCAGGCAAAAGGGCATATTCGCAATTTCCTGGGGGTCTTTTCTGATGGTATTTCTTTTGGGATGGTCTAGAAGGGAACCCGAAGGCAACCCACCATTTTGTGGGTCCAACCTAACGCACCCATTGTGAGACACGCCCGAATGACACGATGCCGCAGGTCGGAGTCCCGGCCTCCGTAGGGTCTGGGGCTTTGAGTGAAGACGGTGTGCGAGAGGCTGGGGCCGCGGAATCGCCTCGGCACTGGAGGACCACAAATTAAATCCCCCCGAAGCTGCACGTTTAGCATAACCCCTTTCCAAGCCACTCGCCCAGACCCAAAGAAGTGGCAAAGGTCTTGGGTTGCCTTTGGACTGTTGGCTTTGGCCTATAAGCCCCTGAAACGCCAGGAAGGCTTGAATCCAAGCAAGCCAAGCGGCCTCTCTCTCTCTGGCCAACTTGAGCTTCCCTCTTCACCACAATCAGCCCTAAGACTTGGGCAGGGACACGCCGCTCCTTTCCCGTAAACCTAAAGTGGCGAATGGAGGTCTCTGATAAGACATGGTGTACCATGTCACAATTATATTGCAGGATACCCTTTTGAACCTTGGTTTAAAGGGACACCAAAAGGAAAACACTTTTTGGTGTCCCCCTATTTTACACGTACCCATATTCTGCTGGACATTCAAATTCAGTTGTGAGCCGCTTAGCGCTCCGAAGTGACCCAGATTAGTAGAGGGGTCGCCCCCAAAAAGATGTCAGCTTGCAAACTCATACCCATGTCGGCAAAAGGTCAACAGGTGCAGTGCCGAACCGCAAGCCCTCTTTGGCTATGTTTGTACTTTTGCAGTTTGCTGGCGTTGCAATATTTCAGCAAGCTTCTGAAACAAACTTTGCATGATTTGTCTAGGTCCTCCAGCAGAGGGGTATACGGTACCAACTTTTTTCTGTAGTCTATTTTAGTAGGGGAACCCTCCCCCCAAGAAAGGGTAAAAGGGCCCTACTGGGGGACCTAGTTGTCTTCCCGGCGCGCACTCTGTTTCGGATAGTTGCTTCTGAAGAGACGGCCTCCCAAACAAAGGAAACTGGGTCGAACCCAAGCCGGCGCAAAGAGTGCTTCTAATCAGCCAGAGCAAAACGTACAAAAAATGGGAAGTGCGGTCGTTGCCTTCTTTGGCCCCAAGGCTTCGTCAACTTCCTCAACGTTCAACCTGCAACCTTGGATTCAGAGCTTTAGCATCAATTCAGTGAAGCCACACACACGCGACATAGCAACAAACGTTGACCGAGCCCTTGAAGAAGTTGGGGGTTCTTCGGGGTCCAGGTGGTACTAACATGGCCAGACCTCTGGTGGCCGGACACCGTTCAAGCGGAATCGAGCACCAGTGGGAACGGTAACCTGAAACCGATTATGTTGAACCCGTATTAATCAACCAACCAGTTCTTATTAACAGGAGGGTGGTGTTTGGCCCTTCCAAAAGTGGTTGGATTCCCCACTAAACCCAGAATTGGACACCCCCCCCTATTAATAAACTCGGGTTGATTAGTATGGGGTCAGCATTATTCTTCACATGCCCCTCAAAAGCATACCTTCCGATGTTTGGCTCTCAGAGCCAAACTTAGCGGTTCGGTCCAAAGTCCAAAGACCTACCTGGGTATCTGAAAAGTGCTCAACCCCAGTTGCTGCATCCAAGCGATAGGCATAAGCGGCATAAGGGCAACCCCTCGCCTTCAACTCAAGTGGTGACGATTCCTATTAAGTCAATGAGGGGACACCGCACGTGTGAGTGTCTGTATGTTTCAGTGATTGGATGCACTTGTGTGCAATTGTGTGTGCCCTTTTTTGGTCTTTGGTGGAGTCAAAGGGATGCCCAAAGAAAACAAATCTTCTCGTGGAGCCTATGTTGAGACGCATCCATTTAAACCATCGAGAAGGAATTCAACCTCTGTCCCACTGCTTTGATAATTGGGATGCATTGGATCGGCAGCACGTTGCATCTGTCAACATGTCAATCTGAGTGCGTACAGAGGGCATCTGCCAGTAAAGCCTCAAAAGCTTTGTACAACAGCTCCCAAACCTAAGACAAGGAATCCCAAGTAAAAAGGACCTTCATCATAGCCCGAGCCAGATATTGATGAGCGCGTATTGCGGCAAAGTCGCAGCAGAAGGAAACAAAGCGGGCAGCCCAATCATGGTGCCCACTGAAACGATCCGTCAATGACGGTGAGCAGGCGCAGCAAAAGTAACACAATTCAGAAACCCACATACTACGAATGCTGAACTTGCCAGTGTGCACGTCGCTGTGCAGTTTGGCTCTGCAGCAAACTTGTCCTGCAACGTGTTGCATCCGCTCAAAACTACTAGCCACACAAAGGGGGCTTGAGAGAAGCGCGGCATGCAACTTCTGAGATGCGCACCCGCAAAGGGGCGTCGCATGCGAGCGTGCACACCTTCATACACACACACACACACGCACACGCACAAAAGCACATAAGCACATAAGCACATAAGCACATAAACACATAAACACATAAACACAAAAACACAAACACTCGCAGATGCACAAAACCACACATAAACATATTTTAATGGCAAAGATGCACACATATGCACACAACAAAGTCAAACAACTACTCCCGGACTGGCACATGCGCAAACTGGCAAAAATCCGACAAACATGCAGCCACACCAAAAGTTATATGATCGATATAAACACTGAAACACAGGCACAAAAACAGGCTTCGGGAAAACCGACATGCTTTTCTTCCAACAAAAGCAGGGGCGACTTGGGGGGTTGGTTGGAAGGACACCCTCAGCGCAACCACTGGAGGCCTGGAAATATAAAGCTTGACCCCTACACAAAACAAGGGGATGTTCCAACGGCAATCCCACAGCAAGAGACCATGGGAAGGCAACGCAAATTGGGGACGCCGTAGGCTTCCGGGGAAATCAGGGTGGGGCATCCCGAGGCCACACATGTGTTGGGCCTGCGAATGGCTGGCGCTGGGCCCTTTTCAATCTCTTAGAGACAAACAACCCACCACATCTGTGTTTTCAAACTGGATATAGGCATGTCTCAAATTATTTGGAGCTGCCTCGTATAGCTTAAGAGCAAATCGACGCATTCGAGCTTCAAGGGTCCCCGACCAGAGACAGAGAGGTACCCGGCACCTGGCGCTTGCTGGCTCAAAAGAGGTTGAAACTCGGATGGGTTGCGCTTTGAGCAAACGATTGATCACCTTTTCTAGTTCTCATGGAGCCATTTCTTTGCAATAGGTTTTTCAAAGAGGGACCTTTGGATTGGGTCACACCCTTGAGAACACAAACCACGGTTACGGTTTATGGGGAGACCCCCAGACCCTCCATGGTCATGGTAAACATGGGCACTCTTTGTTTTGGTAGTTTATGTTAAAGGGAGACCCCTGAAAAAAAGGAACAAAGAAAGCAACCCACTGGATGTTTGGGAACAGAGCTCGTCTCCTCACAATGAGAGGTTTTGCTCTTGATTTCCCTTTTCACCCAGCGCAAGAAGGGGTATACACACAAAACCAGGCACACCCACTGGCTGGTTCAGTGTGTGGAAAAGCATGGCAAAGTTCATTTGCCATCCGGTCCAGTCCACTACGCACCCGTCCGTGAAAGACAGTCAGCTACCCATGAACTTCCGACCCAAAAAAAGGGCAAAGGGTCTAGAATCCGCAAGCCAGGGCACGTCAGGGCAGGTGAGGGCAAAAAGTGCAAACAAGAAGCAAGAAATGAGCCATGATGAACCCAACAGGCAAGTGCTTACTGTAAAACTTGCAATGATCTGGCAAAATGACGTAGGGACTTCAGCAAATCCATCTGGGCTGTCCAAAAAATATAGTGGGGTAAATCCGGAAACCCAACCACGAAACCAACTCAAAAGATCTAAACAGATCTTTTTCAGCTAAGTGGAACCGGGCTGGGCGCCACGTTTGAGCTGACAAGCCACGACTCCATAACTCCCAAAACGGCGCCAATCGCCATGGGCCTGGCTGAACAGCGATCTCCTCCAACAGCTGACGCCAGGACCTCGGAAGCGCTGGGAGATTGGAAGTTTCGCCATGGGAAAACCAGCTTGTCGGTTGGACTCAACATATTGGAACCCAAAAGGTGACATGGGTTGAAATTTGGTTGGACTCAAACTATGGTGGAACCCCACGAAGAAAAAAAAAACAACACGATTTTTGGAGGTTGATTTTTGGGTTGGATGTTGGAACCCACAAAAAAGATTGGGTGATTTGGGTTGAAGTTTGGGCTAGGACGCAATACCATGTTGGATGTCGAAACCCACAAAAAACAGTGTTTTGGTTATTTGGGTTGGAATTTGGGTTAGGACTCAGACCAAAATGGAACCAAATCGCGAAAATGTGGATTTTGGGTTGGCTCGAACATGTTTGATCTCCTTTTGGCTTTTTTGTAAACCGACCCATGTCGCTCGGGCTCATTGTGGCTCTTGTGGGAAACCTGGAAAGACCAGGGGATGGTTCAGTTTAGCAAAACCGTTTGGTGCAGTTCCGAGTCAACTCATTGCTTGAGGTGTTACTGGAGCTAATTAGAGACTTCATTCGGGGAAACCACTTAGCTAGCTTTGGCTGGCCAATGGCCGTCAAACGAAATGGCCACACAATTTCCATTGATCACGCCATTTCATAGACGTTGGGGGTCCCAGGGGAAGAAAAAACTGCCAGGCATTACCCTCACGTCCTGCGTGGATTAGCCAAACATGTAAGAAATGCTTTGTGTTTGCCACGAAGACGTCCCAAAAAGGTATCACGACAGCCGGCTCGCTCCTTCCACCGCAAAAGCCGAAAACATGGCAACCCCCCCCCCCCCCCTTTTTTCACAAAGCATCGTGACCCCCCCCCGCCAACTCCCGGAATTCCCCCCCCCCCACCTGGTGCTTTTTCTCCACATCCAAACAGCAAAACGGGTCCCAAAAAGAGCCCAGTGGTTGGGACCCGGACCCCGAAGAACGGATTTCTAGGGCGCCGGGCAGCGCCTCCTTTTTGGAGCCCGCCTGAAGTCGTAGCACCCGGCCATCGCCTCGGGGATTTGTTTTTCTTGAAGCCCATGGAAGGTGCAGTAAGCTTCAATTAAGGTGTTTGTTGAATCTTTTTCAATTTGAATTGAGCTTCAAGCCAATAGGTCTTCAAGTTTTGGTTCAGCAACATTGACGTGTCGTTGCGGCAGTTGTAAGGTTGTGGGGGCTTTCTCAACAAGCACACTGAAATTGCAGCCGCTGTCTCAATCACTCAATCAGAGCTCGGAAGAATTGCCCGCCCAAGCTGGATGCCCAAGTAGATTGGCGGGCATTACAGGGTGTTGGCCAGGTATCCAGGAAAAAACAGCCTTTTGCCAGCGTATCAATCTCAACACTCAGTAATACCGATAGCCCTCAATCCCAACGGCATGCACAGTCTGTTGGGAATTCACTGAGCAGTGTCTCAATAGAGCCGCAATAGTGCATTCACAGAACTGCATGGGGGTTAGCAGCCCGGTTGCGCATATGCTGTTTGGGGTCAACGCTGATCTATTCATAGGTGTGCTACCCCCCCCCCGTCTCCCGGCCCGCTTTGCTCAATCCGACAAAACCAACTTCTGAGTTCGTGAGAAACTGTTCCATCAGATCCCTTCAATGCCTCACTGAAAATTGCTCTCATCCAGCCCAAACCCAACCGAAACCTACCCCAACGTGACAAACGATGGCCTCACAATGCTTTGCACACCACCCGTTCGCTCGAAGCTCGCAGATATCCCAGGGAACGCTGAGCAACGAGGGCGGGCGACAGGAAGGGCTATGGGCCACTGAGTTCACCAAGCATGTACCTGACCCTGAAATAATGAGGTCATAAACACAAAATTAGGGACCATGACATACATGCAATGACTCCATTCTTGAAGGGTCACGCAAACTCCAGGCAAGTCCAAAACAACCCACATCAACCTTCAACCCGACTCCCAGAGCCTTAACCACTTGAGTATGTCAAAGGGGACTCCTCAACGTGGTGGGTGTCCTTTTGGGTTTCCTTTAAAACCACCCCAAAATGAAGGAGCCCCACAGAAAAAAAACAAGAACAAAAAGGAAAACAAGCCAACAACTTGGTGTGGCTCAAAATTTAACAGCTAGAGGAGCACAGGTTTTGGTTCTAGTTCTTCATTTTTCAGGGTTCTATTTTGGGCCCCTATTTGTGAGCCACACCCAACATTAGTGTTCACATGGCTGAAGCGAACCCAGACTTACTTCTGATTGCCTGTTGTGGCCAGGTGCGTTCTGTCGCAGTGCGAGTCCTTGAAATGCCTTCAACAGGTCAAAATCATACCCAGTACTTCCAAGTACTACAGCGGGCAGGATTCTTACCCCTAATTGTCACATGATTCTGTTTTTCATGACTCAACCCCGTGTTGAAAACTATGGGGGGGTGTTCCCCTCCAAAAGTGGTCTGATTCCGCACTAAACCCAGAATTGGTCACCCCCCTATTAATTTATATCAGTGGCACTTGTTTGCATCGCCAAAACGCCGAGGTACGAGGTGAACACTTCAAACCGTTGGGCTTCCCTGGCTGCCCGCCGTGATGATCTCAAACGCGGCCTGCGAAAACGCGCGCCCTGAAAACGGCGCGCGAGAAATGGAGCGAGCCGAATCGCGGTGTTTTGTCTCCCAAAAAAACGGGGACCCGTACTGCACCCAAGGAAACACAATGCCAATAAGACAACCCACAAGGGAACCCACTCAGGGAACCCAATGAAACCAAATAGGGAACCCAGCAAGGGAACCCCCCCACACCCAAAAAACGTACAAGGGAGTCTCTCTCCTTTCTCGGAGATGCCCGCCCCCAAAACAAAATGGCGGTTTTCCTCCAGTCTTTCTTTTGAATACCTACAATGTACAAAAGTGCAGCCTCAAAAACAGAATAGCCCCATACTCGCGGACGTGACCAAGCCCCAAGCCTTCGTTCGGTGGAGAAACGAAGGTAAGCCTTGGTCAACAAGGAAGCCAACGGGGGTCAGTACCAAGGCCGACAAACCAATAGACAGCCCCTGGGTTGCTGCCTCCGCCCGAACGAGCAAAAGATGCCGTGATCGACCTCTCGTATGTTTGGTGGGGAAAACCCAGATTTGTGAATCCAAAAGGTCCCCGAAAGGGGCCTTTGGATTCGGTCACACCCTTGAGACCAGTGTTCCCTTTGTTGCCGCCTAAGAAGCAAAACCAACAAAATCCAAGAAGCGAAA